TGATGTAAAAAACGATGACCTCAGCTGCAATGCCTTAAGAATGGTCACGACAACCAAGCCCATTTTTTTGCTTTGCCTTAACTTCGCTTTAAATGTCGAGTATGCTATCAGCGTGCAGCTCCAGCAAACTGAAACACGTTGTGAAGGCTTTTTCTAAATCATGAACAAACTTAAACAACAGGCTAGACGGATAAAGCAGGCCACCTCTGTCTTTCATGTGTGTCAATTGCGCAAGGTGTTTGAGACTTTCAGCAGACTCCTTTTGCATTAGAAGAAGTTTACGGCACTCTTCGCAGCCAGACTTCAGTAGGCATTTTCTAGCTACATATCCTGCTATATAAAATGTTAGCCGGTTGTCAATGGCAGATATAATGCATGACGCATGGTCTGGCGCACTCTGTGGGAGCGAGCTGTGCACGGCAGCTACATTGTCACTGTTTATAAACTTGTCCATTAAGCGCTGTTTACCAGATGGAACATTTTCAGCACCTGAATTTGCGGGTAGAAGGGCATGGAGCACTGCAGGCTCACAGTTTCCCTTTGAAGCTGAGTGAGCAAGATTGTTGAAGCTCAAGCAGTTGATAGTGCTAATAAACTGCTGTGGTGTTGGGTGCGTGTTACATCCAGACGACTGCCTGACAATGCCAAAAACATGCTCAACAGGATCTTGGCTTACTCTAGATGTCATTAGGTACCTGTAGCCTAGTTTCTCAGTGAGATACTGAAGCAAAGAAAGCACACTTGACACTGCCACTCGCAGCCCAGCTGCTGTTGACTGGCTCAGGAATCCTTTCTGCCCCTTCGTGTGGTCTTCCCATGATGAAAGATACTCCTGAAACGATCGCAGCTTCTCAACACTTGCTGAACTTGGGCGCAGCGCTTCAGCTGGAAATCGTGAAGTCATCATTTGCACAAGGTCATGGATGATCCTGTGAAATGAACAAAAGCAGGATGAATCACACCCCTCAATACCTGAGGCAATGTGGTAATGTTATGGGCATCCTAATGCACTTTACGTCTACTTACCTTCAGAAGAAACTTTTCCGAAGCAGCGTACGCTGATCACGGATCGTCCAGCAGTGTTTGCTTCAGCTCGATGATGTGCGGTCAGCCGAGAGGAAAGCGGCTTGAATTCTTGTTTACACATTGCTCCCTTGCAGACAGGGCTTTCTCGAGCTTCTTCCAATACGGATGTGGCCTCAGCAAGGGATTGCACTGGTTTCTCTTGACACAAAACACCTTGATAGAAGACTTGGGCTACAATTTTTCCTTCTGTGGACATAAAGCACACAGCTTTTTCATGAAAAATATCCAGTTTTGTACGCTTGCTTATCACTGTCGTCACAAATATTAGATCGCAGTGGCCAACTGCTTCTATACGACACCAGTAGTTTGCAGGAACTTCAAGTGTGCGAATAGCTTCAATTGAAAGTCGCGCACTAGTGGCAGCATTAAAGTCCATGCCTTCCATTTCACCGCCGTCGCACACTTCGTCAGGTGCATCAGGCCTGCGCCGTTTTCTGCTTGCGCCTTCAGGAGGTTTGGCTGCTTTCCTTCTCTCGGGTCTTTGCTTGGGCGCAGCGACGGAAAGGTACGCTGGACAACCTGGCAAAAGCGTTGGCACGGCATCAGGCACCAATGACGGTTTTCCTCGGGGAGTGCGCACTTCACAGCCATTTATTACGTGCACATATTCGCGCAGAATATATCTTGGCTCGAAGTAATGTTCGCACACCGCTGATGTTTCGGTCAGAGGCTTGTCATCCCTCCGGAAGTTACGCTCCCACTTTCTGCGGAGATCGTCTTCTCTAGGAGCTGCAAACAACGATGCCTTCGGGGCACCCGGGTAGCCGCTTCGGCAACCCGGAGCAAAACAGTGTGAATCCGTCCTCCGCTTCGACATGTCACGAGCTACATGTTTGTTGGTACGGAACACCTGAACAGGTACAGACAGCTGCTCCACAACGGTCCGTGCGAGAAAATGCAGAGCAGAGTATACCGGTACACGTGCAGAACAGTAGCTGCAGACAAAGCGATGCGCAGGATACCGGCAGACGTGCTGAACTAACGCGCTGAATCACCAAGTGACCGCGCCTCGCCTAGGAAAAGGCGCAGTAGCGCCACGAGAAACCCTAGCGGCGGTCCGTGGTATTTCCGACCGCCAAGAGAGGCGGCGTGGCCTGGTGGTCGTGCCACTAGAGTACTTCTAGTTCACTATAGTACGACCCCCACGCCGCCGCCGGTCAAAATCGCCTCGGCGCACACCTCTAGAAAAGAGCCGAGCGCTGCAAATTTATGCTTCATCGCGCTGCGGGTGAAGTGACTCGTGTGTTTATAAAGCAACGAAAACAACTAATTCTGGTTGTAAATGTTTATTGCGACTTGTACGCAGCCTAGTGGCATGTAAAAAAACTCAATTAAAGTGCATATGCATCAAATAGCGATGCCTAAAGCAAACACATCATCGAAAACATAGGTGCCCTACTGGTGGTTGAAAATTATTGCCCTTGTCAAAAGTGGTGCCACCTTACTTTTGACGGATTCTTGTTTTTTTTTTTCCTTCGTAATGTGTTGTATTCTCACTTTTACGTATTGTTCGGCGATTCGCCTGCACAAACTGTAAACCTTATTATCAAGCGTATCAAAGTCTAGGACGTGCTGCTCTAGTTTATGGAATCAGTTTTTTCTCGAAGAAGCTCATAGAACATTCAGGATGAAGTGTTTTTCTCTTGACTTCACCGTTTTGATGGAATCACATTCAGCCTGTAGCCGCCTCAGTCCTCGACTTCTTTACAGAGGCTAATGACATCATCGCGACGGTGAAACAAGACCACCTCGCCTCTTACATTTAATTAAAGGTGTCAGCTCATCTGAGTGCATGGCTCCTATGCACTCTTCACAGGTAGTTGCAGTTCGACCTGTCGAGCAATGAAGCCTGCTATGTATGGCACCACGGAACCGACAAAAACAGAAAAGCTTTCGGGCTAGTCAATGCGATGCGTATTGTCGTGGTCATCGGGCTGCAGGACTGGGGCCTTGCGCATGTCAGTGAGATTACTTCTTGGATCTACCATGGCTACAGGAGTCGTTGAATTCAGTACGGAAAGAACATCTTGGGAGCAGTGTCCAGAACTTGAAGACGTGACTTCCGTCTGAACCAATAGACGCTCGTATGCAGCCATAAACTGCGAAGCATGGGTTGTTGTTATGGCCGCCTCATCCACGTATTGATTCGATGAAGTTTTCGGCATAGTCTTGACTAAGTTTGTGTGTCAGTAAGTATTGCAGCTGACCCTAGCTGACAAGTCTCAAATATTCTTTCCGGGCTTGCCATGCGTATCCAAAAAACCAATGAATTCTTTTTTTTTCTCAGTCCTTCTGTCGCTTGCATTCTCTCAGCCCGTTTATGTACGCTCGAGTCTCTGCAAAAAACGACTTCCAGAATGCTTCGTTCCCCTGCCAAAGGGGCGCTTTGTACGACCTTGCCAGTGGGTTCCTGGAGTTTAAGATGTCAATCAAGCGATCAAAAGTTCTAATAAACGTAGATCTTGTGCTGTCACCCTTGAATTGCGGCAGCTTTAGCTTTGGTTCGCAGAAGTCCAAAGCGTCGGCAAGTGAGGCACTCGATCAGTTGTACAGCATATCATACATTCATTTTCTTGCTTTTCCCATTGGACGTGGACTTTCGTAAGTTTGTTCCCGAGCCACAACCCTTCTTCACGTCGAAGTGCCTTCAATGCCACTTCATAACCCCATTTCACATGCTTCCCTTCAATGTCAAAGAGCTAGGTTGTCAAAGCACTCAGGCGCGAAGTGCACAGAGCGAAGTGATCTCAGTCTTTCGCATTCTACTTCTCACGGCGAACGGCCCACTCCCAGAGGCTCCGCGTTACGGGATCTTTAGGAAACCTGTAAAACAAATCCGGACTGTTATGTTTTGCACACTTAGATCGCGTCAGCTATAGCTCCCTTTAGTAACGAGCGCGGAATGACTATGTCAAAGACGTTTTCGTGTACGTACAGGTGAAATGAGAGGCCACAACCTTTTTTCAACCTGTTGACACATCTGTATACGACGCAAGAGGCAACCATTGTAAACCATTTGTCTTTACATGCCAACAAGGTGAAACAAGACCGGACGAAATCAGCAGTTCGCGATGGCGCTGAGCCAACACCACCTAGTCTAGGTCAACGTTTTTATTGTTCTAAAAACGTTGGTCTAGGTGGTGTTGGCTGAGCACGCTTTTTGCCACTGGCAAGATGGCAGTGGCTGGCTTCACTCGCACAGCGCCCCTTTCACTCCAGCAAGTTTTATGCATCCTCCTTGGTCGGCGCACACCTCTACTAGTAGCACACATTTGTCTAATCTACATACTTCTGACCTGTTTCTGCCTCCGTGTGTGTTCGCATGGCTTGAAGGTGCTTTCTCACGAAACAAAAAATCAGAAAATGTTCAGTGGTTGCACTTCATTACCTTATTTCTTTAAAGCTTACCTTTTTAAATTAGGTCACGAAGTTCAAAAGCGTATTTTCTTTCCTTTAAAACGAAACCGTAACCAGCAATTATTGAAGCCGCAAGTACGATTCACCGCTCGCAAGTACAAAAACTAGGCAATAATGTGCACCACCCATCATTCCCATGGTCGCTGAACGATCGTAGAGTTTCTGTATATGCTACCTTTAGGTAGCATATCTTAAGGTGGAATATGCAGTAACTCTAAACGATCGCAGCGTCAGAGTCCCTACAGTTAATTTTAGAAAACTCTATGCGCAACGCAAAACAATACCTTGCTAAATTATTACATAAAAAGCGATAAAGACTGTTTTTTAAAACATAAAAAGAAAAACTTGCTGAATAAAAATGCTCAACTTTTTTTGCTTTTTGTAAGATGGTATTAGTCATTTTCGTCATCTTTGTTGCTTCGCTTGCCTGCTTCATAATCAACACCTTTATCTATCCACTGTGTTGTAGCCAGTCAGTTGTTTGTCAGCCAATCCAATCCGCAGAACAACGCAGGCGTTAGTTCACTTGTCGGCCATTCCAGAACACCAGTGGTAGTGTTCTGTGAGAATACTAGCTAGGTGTATTTTAATTTGCAGGGGTCAATATCTGAACCCCAGTACTCGTGTCTCAGCCGTAACTGAGTCCGAAGCTTGCTGTGCGTGTCGAGTTAGTGAGTGAGACGTCGCCCATCAGGTATTACCTTTTCTCGGCGAGTAGACAACACGCACATGCCCCCGCGCAAAAATACGGCACGCCGTGGTCGGCCGTGGGCGAAGTTCGGAAATAGCGGTGATCGGACCGCGCAGGACGAAGCATCCGACGGAGCGGCGGTCGTAGCTTTGAGCGACGACAACATGACGAAACCCGGCAGTCCAGCGAAAAAGGCGGCCACACCGGCGCGCAAGGTGCCAGCAGCGCCGAAGCCTCGGCCTGGCGCCGCCGCCATTGAACAACCGGCGGCGAAAAAACGCGCCGTCGCCGCGACCAAGCCGGCGGCCGAAAAAGCAGTGCGAACCGTGAGCGAAGCCTCCGAGGACGACGGTGCTTTCGAGGCGCTCGTGCTCGATGCAGATGACGACGAAGATGTGCCCGCTGGAGACGAGGAGAACGTCGCCGAAGACGGTAACGAAGAAGACGCTGCGGCTAGTCGAGATGAGAACGATGAAGAGGGTGACGCAGAGGAACCACTGGGCGGTGCCGAGGTCGCTGAAGATGATGTCGAAGGTTGGGTAGACGAGGCCGCGGAAGGAGACCTCAACGAAGAAGGCGGCGAGGTGGAGGAAGGCGGCGACCACATCGAAGCGGTTGACGTCAAGGCAGAAGGCGGATTGGAAGGTGACGCTGAGAGGGATAACGCTCCCGGTGAAGATGCATCGGACGGGGATCCAGAAGCGAGCGCCGAAGGCAACGAAGGAGCGGAGCCTCAAGCAAATGGCGTTAAAATCGAGAACGGCGGAGAAGAAGATACGGCGGCTGCAGGTGAAGGCGAGACCATCGTTCGCGACCTGGCGCCTTCCGAGCGAGACTTCGTGATGGCCGAAGACGAGGAAGTCAAAGAGGAGCCGACGAGAGAGGTGAGCCGGCTGTGGGACCTGTGCCCCGACGTTGAGCTTGAGCAGGCAGAGACCATTACGGCGTCGCTGCACGAGAGCATCCGACGCTCGGTGCGCCAGTTCATCGAGAGACTGCTGCGGGTCGCCAAGGAGACGGGAGGGCTTCCCGAGGAGGCTATAGCTCAGGTGAGACATAGTCTATCGTGTGTTAAGCCCGTAACCACGAATCAACTTGCATTCATATTCGTAGTGCAAAAGAGAACCAGATGGAAGGAACGCATATACAGGACGAACATGAATGCAAGTGACTCAAGCTTACCCGCATCACTGCTTTGACACAAATCAACGTTATCCTCAAATCAACCTTATCCTTACCTCTCATTTTCCTAAACCTGCTCCTTTGTGTGCACATGACATGCTTTATAAACATATACCAGGATAGTGCTTGCAAGGCAAACTTTGTTATACTTTGCCATGCTTTATTCATGCTCCCAAATGCGCAACTGGGGCATAAGAACAATAAGAAAACGAAAAATAAGGGCAAAGCTGGTTTGTGAAGTTGGACTTTCGCCACTTTAGTAAAACTCGGTCTGTACGAAAAATGGCTTGAGCGAGTTAGTTGAGAGCCCAGCATAAATTTGGCCACATGCACTGAAATACTGTGTGCTGTGATACTGTGATCTTGGAGTATCGTTTTGTTTTCAGCAAGTGCTTCAAGCAGTACTTGAGGGCATAGTGCAGTACTTGAGGGTGTTGTGCAGAGCACCAATTTGAAGATTCGGCATTGTGATGAAATTGTGACTGGAAACTGTATGAAATTCATGCACAGACATTTATTTTTAAAGAATAAATATAGGTGTGAGTTGGTAATTGAGGATTATACCTTTGCATATATCTGGGGTTCGAGGTCCCAATAGCACGATAGGATTGTGAGGCACCATAGTTACAGGCTCTGGAAGTTTGGATCACCTGAGGTTCTTTGACGTGCTCCTAAATCCGAGTACACAGGCCTCGAACACTTTTGCCTCCAGCGATAATGCATCCGAGATTCGATCCCGCTACCTTCGGGATTTGCAGTCGAGTGCCATGACCACTAGACCAGTGCAGTGGGACTTCGTAGGTGTGTTCTGTTGCAAAGAATGACACGGACTTGATGCCTGTACTCGTTTTGATGGGGGCAGGATGCAAAACAAAATAGGCATGTAGTATTCAGCGCATGTTAGAACGCACCCAGGTTGTGCATAATAATCCGGAGCTCCATGGTACTGTGTTTCTTATAGCAGCCCATGTAATGCTGTAGGACATTAAACATAAGCGTTTTGCCATCTCGCAGGATGACCAGCCCATGTTTGGCTGCAGCCTCTGCAATGTCAAGATGCACAAGCCGGAGTTGTTTGACACCCATGTGGGAACACAACGCCACGTTAAGCGCCTTCGCTGGATGTACTTCATGGGCATGAACAGTTAGTACTATTGTTACTGTGTTTTTCTTATCGTTTCCGCATGTACAGCAAAGGTATCTGGAGCAACGTTTGTGCTATATATGGCAATGGTATGTACGGCATATCACAAAAGGTGCCTTCACGTTACTCCAAGATTACTGAATGTGTAATACGCTGTTATGGCGCATGAAACTGGAGCATAACGTTTTGACAGGGGTATTTTAAAAACATGCCAACAGTTTTGTTGATAATGCTAGCTAAATTTTGTACAGGAAGGGTACATGTGTGTACCTATTGCGTAGTGCTACATTTAATACTTCCTGCGAGTTGGGCCAAAGCCATAATATTCCCCAATATTGCACCACACAGCTCGAAAAGGCAAAAATCTGCAATCTCAAATTTGTTTTCCATCCAGCTTTGCAGAAACATGAGTGCTAGACACATAGTGCGAATTTTCTTATCATAGGTCATGCAAACATGCCATGGTCCATATTTGTACACACTGCTGTCCATGGTACTAACATAAATCTGGAGAACGTTAAATATGCTGCTGGCAATTCGATCACAGCTTGCATATCAGCGCAAACGCTCGTGAAGACTATCATTCCCTGCATGATCATGTGACCCTTCAGTGAAATATGACGCATGTACACTCGAGCGCCAACATAATCAATTGCAGCTTTGAAAAAGACAAGTCCACTTGCTCCAGCACACACACCTTAGTTACAAATTTCTCATTGCAAGCTTCCCTTTCCTGCCTTTTTACCGGAATAATAAGCACTCCCATCACTGCTGCTCTCCTTGGCATGGACTGGAGGAAACCATGATGTGTTTTTTCATTGTGTTCCACAGAGGAGCTGGGCAACTACCACTGCCGGGTGTGCCAAATCTCGGTGCCATGCAGGGACCACTTGGTGGGCCACCTGCGCAGCGACCGCCACCTGTGCCTCAGCAAGTCCCTGAATGTACACCCCAAGTATTCTGAACACGTGCTGTTGCAGTTCTACCCCGAGGGTGAGTGAGCCACGGGGTTCACGTTTCTTGCTTGCACTTATAGAATCATTTTGCAGTGCTCCATTCTCACATACCTGAGTCCAAGCACAAGAATAAGCAAGCCATCTGTCATTGCTTTTGTGTGCAAACTCTACTAGAAGGAGAATGACGAATTGTGGTAACATGACCACAGTGTTACACATAGGCAACGATGGGTGGGGATGGGAGAATCTTCATTTTGCAATGCTTTGTGGGAAAGGGTGAATTAAATGTGCGACGAGGCTGTGTGTACCTCATAAGAAAGCTCGGCATGTGTGTGTCACATAGCTACTGCAAAACTAATGAAAGACTGGGTTTGTGTTCAAGTATTTACTCGCATAATAAATGCACCCACAGTTGCAGTCTTTAAAATTTCTAATTTTTTTCTCCCACATAACAAGCACAAAAAACAAAAAAATTTCACCTGCTGCAGCCCACAAACTAGATTAACTGAATATGCTACTTTTAAAAGGTAGGATGTATAGTAACTCTATCGCGAACCAACACATAACGCGTCCTTGCCTGTTGATGTTTTTTCATTTTTTATTATGCTGAAGACCCTCCGTTCGCTCTCTCTCCTTCTTCGCCCTCTGCTGCATGCAGTTCGTTAATTTGCTTCTTATCTGTGTATGGCATGCCCCCTGTCTTCTTTAATTATCCGTACGCCACAGTGGGGATTTACGGACGGTGCAAGAGTAGAGACATCGCAGCTCACAAGCACTGATAGCAAAGGTTACGGAACTGCTCGCGCCAACAACCGGTGGCTTCTTGCAAATACGAAACATAAGGCTCAACCACATGCATGCGGTTTCTGAACGACAGTGGCATGATTTGCTGCCGCTATAACACCTACCGTACTGTCACGAAAGGCCATCAGTCACCGTCACATCGCAGGTATGTCGCAAGTTTCTGGAAAACCAGAAAAACTTGCCCAGAAAAGAGTGTAACGATTTCTGTAACATGATAGCACCCCTGATCCTTGCTTCAGTAGCAGTTTGCTCTTCATGCTTATGTGCGCTTTCCTCAAGGAACGCAAGATGTAGACTACCTTTTTTGCTGTCACAAGCAGAGAGCGAGGCAGCGGCCATGTTTTGTCGTTGATCTTGTTATCAGACAACTGTTCGTTTGGATGTTTCAGAGGAGAGTAGCTTACTGCAATGCCAAAGTTGTCATTGTGCAAATTTGCAAAGTGTGTCGTAGCATAGGCATACGCTTCTGGGCACACGTGAAGCTCTCAGCAAATAACACTGTCGCAGATAAACAAAAGATCATGAAAAAAAGAAAATCACGAAAGGCTTTTATAGAGGGCGCGAGGACAGCTTGCATAAAATAGCGCCATTAACCAAAGATGAGTGGAGTGCAGTAAGGAAGGAGGGAAACACAGAAGGACAAGGAGGTTAGTTTGCAAACAATGTACGTGTATATTGATTGCAAAAAGTTAAGCTATCCTCCTTCTCTCTGCCCCCCCCCCCCTTTATTATTTTTTGTTATAACATTTTTTGCTTATCCGGAAAAAGTTTTCGTAAAGTTACAATACATAATAAATGCCCCACCCCCCCCAGCTTTTCTTTGTTTTATCAGAAACAAAGTGTGGTTATTACGCGGGTATGTACTGTATTCAGATAAGACAGATGTTCTTTAGAAACTGATATTGTTACGGGGAGACATTTCACTATATATTTATGAGAGTTGTATGGCAGCGCACTCCAAAAGGACAAGACCCATCTGCATGAGTTTCTGTCAGTTTCATCCTCATTCCATCTCACTTCATCTTCGTCTATGCCAGTGCTTCATAAAAATATTGGCAGAATGTCGGTCTTTTCCGCCCTGCCGAGGTGGTCTAGTGGCTAAGGTACTCTGCTGCTGACCCGCAGGTCGCAGGATTGAATCCTGGCTGCAACTGCTGCATTTTCAATGGAAGCGAAAATGCTGTAGGCTTGTGTTCTCAGATTTGGGTGCACACTAAAGAACCCCAGGTGGTCGAAATTTCCGGAGTCCTCCACTACAGCATCTCTCATAATCATATGGTGATTTTAGGATGTTAAACTCCATATATCAATCAATCAATTAGTGGTCTTTTCCAAATTAGCAAATCTGCCTGTGTAGCGCTGCCTTTGTAAACTTTCTGTTGGACCAACTGGATATTTCTCTGTAGGCACAATACGGGCTTTTGTAGGGGTTGACCTGTTTCCCAGCACACTAATATACCATGGAAGGCCTTGGCCCAGCAGTAGAAGTGCCTGAACATTTGTGGACGACAGTGGCAGGCTCCCTTGCCCTGCAGGGAACGTTCACGAGGGAGACCTCTCCCAAGGACCAGAGGAAGAGTCATCCATAGTGTTGTTTCTGGCCAGCTCTGCCTACGTGCAACGGTGTTGTGCGGCACTGCTAAGGTAGTATTGTAGACACCCACGTATATTCCAGACTTGCATATAGTATGAGGTGTGTTTCGGAGATAAAAAACTGGAGAAAAAAAGCTTTCAACCTAATGTAGCCTGAGCAAAACGAGTTAAAGCCATTTATTCACGCACCTATTCATCGCTGTCTCATGCACTTTATTCTGAAGCTCTCTAGTCAGAGATGGCCTGACACAGCACCTCAGTTTGTTTCGTTCAGGGCGTTCGAAATCGAGCACGGCGGACGACTGCCTTGGGAATGCAGACCCACGCTTCGGTTATTCATGTGCACAGCATCGCAGGCGAGACCGGTTTCAGTCATCTGGCTGAAATCGCTTCCTGCTCTCCGAGCCTCAGCCCCTCTATATAGTACATGCACTTGATGTGGTTCTTAAAGGGTTAAGCAACCGCCGCCAAGATGTCCTCTAGTGGCAACGATGAGCTCGGCACGCAGGAGTTGTGCAGCAGTCGCCTCACCGAGGTGACACCAAAATGCGTCGAGCAAGAGTATTGATAGGAGCCCTCTATTGCTCTTGAATGAAGTGTGTAAATTGCCGTTCAACATCGAAAAACACTCCATTTTACAGCCCATGGAAACTTCTCAGGCCGCTGTCCTCAAAGAGGGCTTCTTTCTGTTTCCTCTCACCGAAAATTCTTCACTTGTCTATGCCAAACTTCCTACTTCTATTACCATTACATCACTGTTAAAGGCACTCGAATACTGCTTTCGCAGTCCTCACATAGTGTACAGTCGTTCTTCTCTGGAAGTAGGACTAACACTAGCTCTACCTAAGGCAGAGGCCTGGTGATGATGTTAGTGCCACGCAGTGATAAAATTAGAACTGTGGATTCTCAGCTGAAAATTCTTGGGATCCGTTTGTTTTCTGGGGCTAAAATTTTGCATCGTAAAAACTAGAAAAAAACCTCGAACTATTTGGGGGACAATAATTATTAAGGGGGCAGACTGGTATGGGACATTTTTTTTATATTTTCTTAAGTGATCTTGATCAAACTGCACAGGATTATGCAGTTTTTCTGCTGATTTTCATATAGTTAATTAGTTTTTCTGTAACTCATTTTGTGTCAGATAACTTAAGTTTACCCCCTATTTTTTAAGGCTGCCATAGAAAAAAAGTGCTTAATTAAACGTGATATTTAAGATGAGCCAACATAGACTAATGACTATAAATTGAAAGTATGCAAGTTTCTTTTGTGTTTAGGGCTTTCTTGGTTACTTTACACCAAAATGAGCTATCCATTTTTGAAAGCTGTTGGAGTTATGTCAGAATATTGATGAGTAATTGATTAAAAAGACTTGTGCTCTAATTTCTGCTCCCATATATGCATTCTATACACCTACTGGTTTCTATTGGAAAAAGAATTATTGTTGTACCTGCCCTAGCTGCAGAGATATTGAGGCCTCAATATTCAACAGCCGTAAATTAACCTTCTTTTTTATATAAAAATATGAAAAACTGAAAAAACACAGCTTCTTCAAAAAGCAATAATCATGGTGCGCATGTTTTGCAATCCTCATAATGGTGTTCATAAATTCGTAGCAGAGCTTCTAACACAAGTGCTGGCAAATTATAAAGAAGCCTCGAAGTCGGATCCCCATTTTTTCGCAGGTTCTGCTTGTTAACAGCACCAAGAATCTGAACAGTTAGAATGACATTACAAAAAAAAAAACTACCACTTCCTGGTGTATGAAAATTTACAGAGAGATAGAAAAATACTTGCAGAAACCAAATATGCGAATTTTAAAAAATGAATTTTTTTGCCACTTTTTTGGTCCCAAAGACCAGTCTGCCCCCTTTAACATTGCAAGGCTGAGCTAAAGGAGCCATGGAGTGTGTATAAATTGACATCAAGTAACTTTGCTCTGCCCCTGTTCAAAGACTCACGGTTTTGCAATGATGTTGGTATAGCAGGAAGTAGTGTTTGTGGCTATACTTTTTCAAGTCATAGCTCTTCGATGCCTGCTTATGGATTGAGCGTTGGCATTCCTCGACCCTCATATCTAAAAGAATAAATGCACTCAAAGATGGAAAAAACACGAAGTGAAACATAGATGTCGAAAGGTTGCAAAAGAAAGCCAAGTGTCACGGGAGGCTACGAGATGGCACCAGAGTAGTGCACCTCATCTTGGGGAGGTTGCTGGTGGCGAGTGCTGTGAATTGCACACATGTGCTGGGCCTTGCAATCTTCAGATTAACAGGGCAGTCATGCTGCAGAAGACAAATTGTCTGCACGAGCCAATATATAATGTAATGAAGACTACACTCAAATATCACTATAATGAGGGGCACAAACTTGTGGAATTTTTATTTTTGCTATGACGGCAACTGCAAACGTGCAAGTCCACGGCTGGTTGGCACAAGGTTCAATCCGGGGTCATAATGATGGGTTGCAGATTCGTGCTTCCCTTTCTTGAGGCTACATTCAGCGCTCATAGCACCAGCCCTGTGCTAAGGATATGTGCAGAAACCTGCTGCACCCCAACGGCATGTGCTTATGCTATATTGAGGCATATAGATAGGGCAGATAATCGTGCCTGCATTTATTCAGTATGCTTAATAGAAGGCAGAGTACCTTCTGCGCCTGCTGTCTCTGGGAATTTTTCATTTGCTAGATTTGTACCCTCATGATCAACTGTATTATTGGGGAGAGTGGGTAATAAATACAAAGATAACAAAATTCAAGGGGTAATATCGTATTTGCTTGCCTAATGGACCCATCTTTTTTTCGTTTTTTTTTTTTTAAGTTGACCCCAATTAGAGGGGAGGGTTCATTACTTGGGGATAGTCCTATCAAATTACTAAGCACAATAAAAAAGATTTGGAAAATATTTCAGCATGCAGAATGACGCCTACATTATAGTCACAATCAATATGATGTGACGTAGATCACAGCAATCCAATTAATTCCTATGAAGAATGATATCCTAGGTTATTTTGCCAAATAAGTTCAAGGTTGCAAATTCTGATTTGCTGTCAGACACTTAAAGGAAAGGCTAAGGAAAGCTTGCAGTTCGGCATATGAATGTGTCATACAAAAAAGCTGGTGCTTTGTCAGCTGTTCTATTACTGTGTAATAGTAGTGAATCTGGCGGCAGTTAAGGAAAAACTGGCTAATGTTGTTATTGTTGTCAATGTAAATAGAATGTTGGTGACTTAACACCACTGGGTCATGTGGGAAAACACATCAATTGCTTTGGTACAGTTGTCAGGACATCAGACCCGATTGGTCCACTGTTTCAAGCCCTTCAATCAGAACAGGGTTCAACGTTCTTAATTGTTTGTCAGTGTGTCGCCCCGCCGCGGTGGTCTAGTGGCTAAGGTACTCTGCCGCTGATGCGCAGGTCGCGGGATCGAATCCCCGCTGCGGCGGTTGCATTTCCGATGGAGGCGGAAATGTTGTAGGCCCGTGTGCTCAGATTTGGGTGCACGTTAAAGAACCCCAGGTGGTCAAAATTTTCAGAGCCCTCCACTACGGCGTCTCTCATAATCATATGGTGGTTTTGGGACGTTAAACCCCACATATCAATCAATGTTTGTCAGTGTGCTGTGCAAGCCAGAAAGATGCTGTCTGCATCTTTCTGCAAAAAAAGGCATGTGAAGGACAGCAAGTGTAATGCAATGCTTACGGAGTGACAGCAGATTAGCTGAAATTGAGTTTGCTGTGTAGTTGGCATAGGACGCCCGCTCACCTCTGCCAATGCAATACGAGAGGCCGGGTCTACGTGACTTGCAGGTCCAGGTATTCCCGTCCTCTTAGATACAGCTATGACTAGGCTTAGTTTATGTTAGCATGGCTGGGTGCACTGCTATTGTAAGCATTTTTCGTCTGTCACATCATTGTCATCCATGTATGTCTAATTGTAATTGTTCCAGTTGTGGGTGCTAACTGGGATGTGGCCTAATGAATGGGTTTCTTTAGTTTCCATCATTTTTATATGGTGGTGATGCCAGGTAGTCACCTTGCTAGTGTTCCTAGGTGGTGCACCGCTTGCATTGGTTCCCGGCTCGAAAGAGCCAACTGGTGCAGCCTTCATGTAGGCTTCTGTCTTGCTAGGCAGTTATGCGTGCATATGGCTTCTCGAGAACACTGTCAGTAGAAAAGAAGAGGGAGCTGTTTGATTTTTTGTTTCATTTTGTGGGCACATGTAGCAGCAATCTGCCTTAGTAGGCAGGGTTTTGCTCTGCTAATTTTGAAGACGTTGGTTCAGTTCCTGGCTGTGATGGTCACATTTTGATGTGAGTGAAATGCAATAACTCCCGTGTACTTAGAATAAAGAATTCCATCTCGTCCAAGTCATTATGGAGTTCTTCGCTATGGTGTACATCTTCATAGTAGTTAAACAAGGCTGAAAGGAAAATAAAATCTTGATGCAGTTGAGAATTCCCGGAGAGGTGTTGCTGGCTCCAGCAACAGCCCTTTGTTGAAGGATTCTTCCTCTCATTATTGTGTTGTGGATATGGCGCATAAAACTCGAGAATACAGGCAACAACATGGATAGTTCTGTGAAAAATTACCAATGAGATAATCAGCTATGTTGGGCACGCTGTGGTGGAGATAGCATGGGAAAAGTGCTTTGTATGCTTGCTTATGTGTAGGTTTTCATTAAACGAACCTTGGCAGCTTCGTTTTTGTAGGAAGTCATTTTAATGAATTAACTTGTGGCAGTTGAATACTACAACTTGAGTATCTATAACTCTACTAATTCATATTGACTTACTTAAATGGCCATTTAAAATTTGTTGAGGAGTGCCGTAGGCAAGAATATTATGTAAACTTATGGGTGTGGCGGTTCAATGACCCCCCCCCCCCCCTTTTTTTTTTTTTTGAAGCAAGGGTCCTCTCCAGTAGGATCAATCTGCCAAGTGCCTAGATAGAAGCAAGAAGCATACTCGTGCCTGTAGCACCACTAGGTACCTGTTAGCAACAGTACTCATCCTCCTATATCAGTGGCAGGTAGCAGACCATTACCTCACGTGCTGGGATGTTTGTCGGCCCCACCTGATGCAAATGAGGCTTGGGTCTACACAGCGGCCATCTGTTTACAGCTGTGACAGCACCTGGGAACGACAGCATGGCGAATCGTCTATTCTAATAGGTCATGTATAGTTGCCTTATTATTATTGAAGCATGACTTCATTTGCATCGGAATGATTTCCAGCCATGGCACAAATGTTGGCTTGGACATGTCGACCTATTGCGCATGCTAGCCGACACCACCACACAGCCACGTTCAATCGCTGCCGTGGATCAAGTGTTCCACGTAGTATTTTTTGCCAGTGACAACACAATCACCAACCGCCTTCTCTGAAACATTCAAAACTTCAAGCGTTTGTTGGTTCCTCAAAGGATTAGTGCTCACTTATTGAATTGAATCATGTTTATTCTGCAACAACAATGTGAGGATGACCAAGCAGAAAAGCTGCGCTAAGCAGCTTGAGGGGAACCTGTGGTGCCATCTGAATAAGTGTCTGCAACCATGCAGTGATCTCTCGGCAGACTTTGGGAGGGCAACTGCGGACTTGTTGGGGAGCAGCATCTGAATAAGTGTTGGGGTGCCATCTGAATAAGTGTCTGCAACCATGCAGTGATCCCTCGGCAGACTTTGGGAGGGCAACTGCGGACTTGTTGGGGAGCAGCACGAGTGCTTGTGGGAAGGGCCCACTTTTGGAGGACTTGTAGAGTTTCTCTTTCGGTTATTAATCTGGCATGAAAAAGTGAGGACGAAGGTGCTTTGCAGCTACCAGGTGTAGCAAGTGAGGCCACACATCTTCGCCCAATGTTTGCCTGTAGTGACAAGATAGTGGGTGGACACCGGACTATCTGGTTCTGCACAAGATGCAGTGGTTCTTGCAAGAACACCACTTGTCTGTCCTGGCATGCGTTTGTGCTGGGTAAAAGATGGCAAATGTCTGACGAGGGCTTGCTGCATGGTGTAGGGTTTGTACTTGAAATAGCAGTTAGCTTCCCAAAGGCCAGTCTGGGAGACCCAGTGGCATCCAGCAGCAGAAGCGCTGGTGACGCTGCTCACCGTGGTGGCACTTGATTTTTGTTGCCAGTAGGTTATAAACATTACAGTTGTGGCAGTGCAGCTTGAAGATTAGCAGAATCCTGCAAGGAGGGTTGATGCTGTGGTGATTGGCTGAGGTTTACCGCCATTGATCCTAAGCCTTGCGTGGTGGCCACTGTGCAACGCCAAGCTGGCTTCAGGGTTGAAAGCCGCCTTGGGTATTCTTGCAGATGGCATTCTTGGCTGTCAAACTTTGGTAGTGCTAGTAGTTCGTGGATGTGGAGGTCTTGCACTGCTCGCAGTGGCTCCTAGAGGGGCTCCAGTGAGTGCTTAGAGTTCTGTTGGTCAGGATCCGCAATGTTGCCACCCGAATGGGGGCTCTGCCTTTGGGTGCGCAGAGGCCCTCACGAAAGAGGCAAACATGCACACCTGACCTCCTCACGGCGGCCAAGCTGTGCTCACTTTCCAGGATGTTTATGGCCATCTCACTTTTCTTCTGCTCGACAGACGAGGTGAAAAGCTTGCTCCAGCCACAGCCACAACAACAGCAGCAGCAGCAGCAGCCATCTGCAACCACAAGTCAGCCGTCGGCCACTGGTAAAGGGAAGGTAAAGCTCGCCACTCGTGCTTTTGAGGGGTACCAGGGGGTACGCATCGTCACCTGTGCTCTTCGGAGAGCCGACACTCACCCGAGACGGCGCACAGCCGAGTTGATAACACATTGTGTCGGTGTACTTCATCTTGCATCCCATTGTCGCAAGACGTGCACTTGTGGAACAAGCACCACGTTCGTCATCATCTATAGTTCAAGCAGTGTGCCACCCTGTAGCATTTTATTTTTCGTTTCATTGTTCTCAGCTCACTTTGCGAGGCAAGGGCATTTTGAGTTTTCTCGTTTTGTTCTTATACTTTTTTCAGTGTGCACAGCCTTCAACCGTTGCAGTGGCATTATGTCAATGTGTCATTTAGGGTGACACAACATGTCTACACTTTATTTGATTTAGCATCACTTCTTGCTTGACAGTTAGTTAAAGGTAATGCAATAAAAAGAATATTATAGATTTTTTTTTTCACTCAGGATCGTCACTATATGAATTTTTCTTATCTGCACTGCTTTCGCAATTCATTGCCCGGTGCTAACCCAGTTGCGTTCGCATTTTTATGAATTCCACATGAAAATGTGTTTGGATATATGCTTATTGTGGGTGACTGATGTAGTGGAAGCTCGCACATTCAGAAGAGGGACCAGCAACTGTTTTTTCTCAACCTATTTTTATACATGGTGACAGAAAGCTCACCCTTCATAGGTTTTGTATCTGCAGTAGTTAATCCGAAAAGCTCGTAGTTATATTACTAGCAGTATTTTTCTCTCTGAAAGCCCCGAAACACAGATGTACCTTCCCTCCAGCAATGCTGATAATTGATAACGACGTTGCCAGCTCTTCTCGCGATACATGAAAGCTGTTGTTGTTCTGTTTTCGAAGGAATTCCTGTAGCTATGCTTAGCTGCCTTTATTTTGAGCGTTTCAATTATTGTTTAACTTAATTTCTATTATGTAGTGTGCGCCTGCGCCCAAGGCTGCCTATGTCATGGGTAGCTTGTCCCATTGTTGTTACTCTCCCAATACACGAGCCAAGTCAAGTCATCTAAAGCATCACTATGCATATTACATGACTGTGCCATTGAGCAGTGCACGTCATTTTTGAGACTAAGCGTAGGCAGCAAAGCTACGTCTCTCCAAAATCCTAGCAACCTGGAAATTGCGTGCACGGTTGCATCAAGGTACGCTGATGAGCATAGGATTATTACGTCATGCGAATGCAGTGCCAGTTTAAGCCTATTATAAACGCAGGTCTACATGTTCATTGTTATGAAGTAATATGTCTTAATATGAAAAAAGAAACTATCACTATTTCAATACTAACAAAAAAATCGTCGACCGGCTACAGCAATCGACAGTCACGTGGCCAGGTAGATCAGATCATTCATGTTCCCGCCTCCTGAGGCGACACAGATAATTTTTCGCTCCTTTCAATGAAAAAATAAAAATATAAATTCACCTCTCACGTAAAAAATGAGGTTGGTTTGAGTCAATGTGACGGACAATATTTCCACCAGTGGAGTCATCTCATTTCATTTCTTGTTCTGGGCGATTTTCGGTCCCTTCAAGAGTACGATTGTGCACATTGTGCCTACAACATACTACCTTGTTTCTTCTTAGCAACTATTTTTTATATATATTGCACTTGTGTAATCTTTGTTCACAGAATAGCATAAGTGAAATTTGTTGTCAAAATGTATTCGTTTTCTTACATTTAGTGCCTGGCCACATAGATGCTTTTTTTACTATGGCCAATTAGACGGAGGAAAACATAGTAAAGCATTTTGCCACTTGAAGGCCACAAAACACAGGGCTGTTTTTTAAAAACAATAGTCTTTCTTGGGGACCTTTGACGCAAACATTTTAGTCTGTCTGTCTGTACATTTGTCTGTTTGTACGTCACTCATGTCTCACGTGTTGCGTGACTTGATGCGCTTGTTCGCCTCCGCTGCACGCTCGAGGCACTCTAACACAATGCCTCCAGAATACCATTCACCAATTTTCTTGCGCAGAACATCAAATAAACATTTTGTTCACTCTCTCCCGACGAAAGACTATGGTCTTTCGACGACATTTGCAGCGTAATATGCAGATATGGGGGCGTTTTTTTTTTTTTCTTTTTTCAGTAACTTTCTAGATTTTTGGGCATTTCTAAATCACGGAATTTTAAAAAACCCCTCACTAGCCTCTCAAAGTTAAAAGAACGAGCGCATTGTTCTCTCCTGGTGTTTTTAATTTTTCTTGCACACTTCGTGATGCAGACAGGGAACCCCATGACATCTCTAGTGTACATGCTCTTGATTGGTCCATATACGCGAAATATCAGTTTTGAATTGGTTGCTGCACCGCTTTGCCATGCAGCCGCCAGCCCGTTCTCGTCTCACATGACTATCGTGCGCAATCAACTGATGTTGCATCATTTTGTGTGTTTACGACTGCACAAGTAGCGATAACAGCATGTAGTTGAGAACCGCAAAATTCTGATAGGCTCAAACACATAGTGCTGACATTGTTCACGTGCTCTAAGAAGCAAGTGGCGAGGAGGATATATTGCCTGTGCAAAGAGTTGCTAAGGCGGGAAGGAAACCGCTCTCACATTTTTCACTGCTGAGTGGTGAGGGGCCCTTTAACGGTAATAAGAGTACGAGCAAGGTTTTCATTGGCTGATGAATTAGGCATCTATTGCAAAAAGCAAGGCCGTCTTATTTTCTGAGTCAATGATAGGTTGTCAGTGTCGTGTATGTCAGTGGGCAAAGTGCAGGTGAGGTATTGTACCGGTGTCTATTCGCGGTTGTGTCGGAGGTTGTCAGTAGTTGCTGTAGAGAAGGTGCATTTTGTTTGGCCCTGATGGAGGAAGGTGTATCAGAGAGGGCGTTTTGCACGATGAAGGCACAGATTCGTTTTTGTTCTTGAGGCCATACCACACAGGCGCGTTGCAGCATGTGAGTACGTGGCTTTTTGACGTGGCGTCACGTCCTCTCACTATGGAGAGAGAGGGCTCATGGCTACACGAAGCTGCGCTCCCCTCTTTCTCAACAGGAAGAGTATGTGGCATCGCACGATAAAGACATGCGCTGACGAGCTCCAACGCGCACGTGTAGTCAGGCCTACATGGTTGTCGTCTACTCCCCTTCTTGACTACTACATTTTGGCTCTTTTTTTTCGCTACCCCATTTGATGCCAGGGGCAGAAAAGTGCAGATAAACGTCCTGACAAAGGCAAGGCAAATGCAGGTGAGTTGTGGTGCTTTGCTATTTTTATGACGGGAGTTAAAAAAACCCTGTACCTTGAACGTCTCTACTCTCGAAAGCTACCTTCCGATGTTTTGCCATCGCAAAGTATGGCATTGTAGACAAAGCAGTATGAATGATGTGTAGATGTGAATTCCCATGCATAGTATTTATTATTACATGACACTCATGTTATGCTAAACAGTTAACCCTTTCAGGGTTCATTTTTTTTTTTTTTTGCAAAATGCAGATCAGAAGTGAGTATTTTTTTTATATTGCTAAAATGAATTATTCAGACCATTCTCTCTAAGAAAAAAGAAAATTGTCTAAATCTTTTCCTTGAGACCATAATGAGACACATAAATTTTGTGTTGATACATACAAATAGTTTATTCATAGTAACATCAAGCAAAATCCTAAACAATAGTACCTTTACATTTTTAATAAATAAGAATTAGGCATTATAACAAACATAGCTCACAAACAAAAATAAGTGCACCAGGGTACTTTTTTAGTGAAAAATGTTTTTACTCTTAACACTACACACTAGGGATTAGTAACCTTCGATCCGATCCTAATTGTATCCCTGCACACGCTTTTGAAATGTGACTCCTTCATGATTATCTGAGTCTGAACTCTTAAGTAAATCCGCATCTAATCAATTGAAATCTAATGAGTCAGATTCTGCACTTGGGCAATAGTCTGCGTTCGAAAAATAGCTGTTTGACTTAATAGCAGAACAAACTGTGCGAGTGAGTGCACAGAAGAAATTTCTATGGTTGTGCGCCTAGCGGCGAAACGAGAAAAAGCTATAGTACGTCTTTTTGGCAACGATACAGAGATAGTTTATCTGAGTACTCAAAACGGAAAATGCAGCCACGGCATCATCTTCAGTGCAATCTAACGTCACACGGAAGCATTAATCGTTCTCTGGGGAGCAGTGAATGAGAGAACCACAAGCAGTGACCCTTTGAGAGATTGGAAACCAGACAGCAATCAGCTTTGTGGGTGCGAGAAACAATTGCCACCTGAAGGATCAAATCGAAACCAGCCGCACCGCCTGCACGCATTCGGATGCAGAAGAGATAGCTGCCACGCTGCTTTTAAAAGCAAAAAAAAAAAGAAAATAAGGAACGGGGAGATATTAGTTACTGAAAAAATTTCATGTCTTCCCGAAGTGTGGCAGCGCATTCTAAGCAAAAAAATTATCGATCAGTTGGACCTTTAAAATTATCCCCGCCGCGCGCACGCTAGAATGTGCAAGCGACTTACAAAGCACCACATTCTTATTCATAAAAAAAAAAGAGAGATATCAGCGCATAAAAACATTCATGATTTCTTGAAGCATGGCAGCACATGCCAAACGAGCAAAATGCTCGAAAAGGGCGCGCTCTAAAAATGAAGACAGTGCCTTACATGTACGATGTCCACGTTAAGTGCTGCGGTTCATGTATGGCAAAAACCCTTAAAGGGTTGATATCTGCAGCATATGTTACGTCTTGAAAGATTTGTTATTGTTTTGTGGTATTGCAATAACCTTTGTTGTCTTGAAGAGTGACCTGTGTGTACTATTTAAGAACTTAAGCGCGTTCAGACTGAGTGCCATCTTTAGCTACATGTAATAGAAACCTCGTGCGGCATGCATTAACAAGCAAATCATGATTCTATTGTTGTAGGAGGTTGTACTGATCAGTAATCGTTAAAAGTAATGTGTTGTAAGTTGCTTTTACATTATGCCATTCCAGGCTTAGCTAGATCAGTAGCTTGATGACTTCAATCAGCATCACTTGCATTTCGCACGGCTCGTAACTTGTTTGTGCCATGGTCGGAACAGGCAGCACTGGACAGCAGTCCACGAGGGATCAGTCGCCACCGGCTTCTGCAAGCCAGGGCTTCATATTCCACTGTGAGGTGTGCCAAGTGATCGCATACCACGAAGACCAGATTCAGGAGGTAAGAACAGAAATTGGCGATGCACTTGGAAGAAGGTTCTGTGGTAGCAATGGGAGAATACATAGCAAAATTGGAGTTCAAACCGAATGATGATCGTTTCAAATAATTTCTAGTAAAGAATTTTGAACGGTGTAAACAGTCGAGCCCTGCTACAATAAAACATTTTTAGTTTACCATCAGCAGTTCATAAAAGTCAAAGAATAAATATTCTCACCACAAAGAACGCTTTTTCTTCTGCCACCCCGCTTAAAAAAATATGGACGATGCAATTTTAAGCTTAAGTATTTAATGCTGTGCAATAAACACAATCTTGAACATTTTTATGCATTTTCAGAACATAAAAATACGAATACGTCTATGAAGCAGGATTTCCAGCCGTACGGTCCTACTCATAGGGTATTTTCGGAATTTTTTCGGCCAGCATAGGGTAGTAGGGCGGTGACATAGGGTAATTTCAACTTTTGCTCATCATTTACCAGTGAAAAATGTAGAAGGGCTTCTCATTGCGGAAGTATGTGTAGACATTCGGGGAAGCAGACGGACCAAATGCCGATGACAGTCACCGCACCGCCGACACTGACTCGGTAGCAAATAGGGATTTTTAGAATACCGTTTGCAAGCACTGCGGGCGTAGCGGGCGCCATATGAGTTTTAGAATAGCGTTTGCCCTGTTGCAAACCGCTACGCACGATTGCAGTGACACCGTAGCCTCGAAACCAGCGCTTGCGGGCCACATGCGGGCTGCAATCGCCGCATGCAATTTCAGATTTTCTGCGTGCAGCCCGCGAACGCGAACGCCGACTCGCGTTACGACGCATGCGCAGTAGCAGCGACCGCAATGCAAGGGCTCGCAATGCGCTATTCTAAAGCTCCCTAATAGGGATGCGGCTGACATTGCCGCGCGTTTCAAACCGCTCAAGCCCTGTGGTAAAAAGCTTTGTTTTTCATATTTTCTTGCTCACGTACGAAACTGGCGGTTGTCGGAGCTGTAAGAAGAAGGTCGAACGCAACTTTCCCAAGCGGTCGCTACGCCGGGCAGCGCTGCGAGTGCAGGACGCATTCAAAGATGGCCAATATTAGCGGAAATTTGCAAAATCTAAAGCCACCGGGACGCCTTTACACACATTATTTTGCATTTTTCTGCGCGACTTTCGTTTTGAAAGTTTCACAGATGATGGAAGGGTTGAGGATTACAATTCAGTAAAAACCAGAAATACAAGAAATTTCGCTTAAAATACGATTTTTTGACTGTCATCTCCCCTTAAAATGGTGGTTGAAGTGCCGCTAAAATGCATCTTTAATTAACAAAGCCATTATAATAAGGCATTTGCAAATAAACTTCATGATTATCAGGCACAAACCTACTCAGGCAAAGATTAGGTGGTTAGTTTAAGTGTGTTGGGCCACTGGAGCTACTCTAGAGTTGTTGAAATATAATTACAGGTTGTTACTATACACTGTCCAATGAAAGTGCACCAAATTGGCCCAAACCAGGCTTACTGTACTCACTTATGGCCACGGGTTGTTACAGGTAACATATTTTTTACAGGGAAAATTGGCAGAAACTCATTTATAGCAGGACATCACTGAGGCACGGTTGACCAAAAGTTGGTCTTTGTCTGGAGTTCAAGCTCGACACTCGTGCATGTCGAGTGCATTCAGTCCCTCCACTTGAGCCAACTAGTAGACCAGTCATTGGCAGAATGAAGGAGCATTAGTTGTTAGGGAATATAGCAGGTCAGTTCCACAGAATTTCACGAGAAAAAAGGATGTCTCCACATTTTTACATTTTAAAACAAGCTTTCAGTTGTCGTTTATGTAGCCTTGTTCTGGTTTTGTGCCTTATACAAAGCATGTAGCCTGAGTCATGCCAGAAGCATCAGTTTCTAACATGCGTGCACCTGCTTTCTGTAACAGCACTACAAAGGCAAGAAGCATCGAGCCAAGATGGCTGAGGAGCTTGAGAAGTTGTCAAAGCAGAAGCCAGATGATCCGAAAAAGGTAAGGCCTCCAGACAATGTTTCAGTTCTTACTGCAAGGGCCATACAGTTTTGCACAATGATACTTAGAAGTAAATCTGGTGCCACCATCTACGTGTTTCCTGTGTCATCATGAGAATGTTGGTTTTCAATATCTTTGAGGCTTGCCCCCGCAGGGGCGCCTGCGCAAGTAGGCGTTTGGTGTGTAGCGACACCACGGACCCGAGCTAACGGGGGAGTTTTGACTCCCTCCCACGCCTAGCCGTGCGTGGCTTTGCCGTGTCCGGGGAAAAGGGGATCCTGGGGGTTGAGCTGACGCTGGGTGATAGGACCTTTAAGGCCCCCCGGAAGAGGCAACACACCCCTTTGGCCCCGGCTTCACGTAGACGGCACCCCTGGGCTGACCCACCCAGGGGAAATCGGCAGTCGCCTTTTCCTATCTCTCTCTCCCTACATCTTCGTCTTTTGTTCTCACTTTACATCTTTCCTGTCTTCTCCTCACTTCATTTTACTTCCAATTTTTCCTGGCGGCAAGGGTTAACCTGGTGTAAATATCCAAACTTGGATAGATATATTAGGTTATGGCAGTGGCGTACTACTGGCGTTGCGCAGACATGTTTACATGTTCTGCCACGTCCCCTTGTTGGGCTCCGTGGTGGGTGGTAGGTGCCATTACTAAAGGAACTGCACTTTTCTATGGGATCACGAAACCCCTTATCCATTGATCGCCCCTTCAAAAGGTGGCGCACCGAAGCAAATGTAATGCCAATTTCAGAAAAACAAGACCATTTCCCTAAGTACCACGTTATTCATTGCGAAAGCTCGGACAAAAAAGCTCGCAACATCTCCCCATTCCTCGTGTCCAGGTGCCTAACCGAGACTATCGGAACTGGCTATAAGGCTACAAAGATGGCAAGCGGAGACTTGCTAGTGGAAGTTAAAGACAAGACACAGTTTCAGAAACTAGAAAAATTAGTAGCATTTGGGGACAAGCCCGTAACCGTCTCTGCGCACCGAACGATGAACACTGTCAAAGGCGTTGTGTCAGACGATGACCTAAAAGACCTAACAAATGATGAGCTTCTGGCTGGCTGGAAGGACGAAAACGTCGTTCACGTACAGCGTATCGTAGTGAGAAGAGAAAACAAAGAAATTCCAACCAAGCACATAATTGTGACCTTTGGGTGCTCCACACTACCGCAAGAATTAGTTACCGGCTATCTAAAACTGTCTGTGAGACCCTAAATTCCGAATCCGCGGCGCTGCTTCAAGTGCCAAAGATTCGGACATGCTTCTCAGAGTTGCCGTGGGCAGCTTACCTGTGCACGGTGTGGTATCACAGGCCACTCTGCAGATGATGACTGCAAGGCCGAACCCCACTGTGCGAACTGCGATGGAGAACACGCAGCGTATTCTAGATCCTGCACAGCATGGAAAAAAGAAAAAGAAATTATTACCATTAAAGTCACCCACAACATCACTTTCCGCGAAGCAAGGCATCGGGTCTCCCCTTTCTATGCAACAAAATCATTTGCTGAAGTTGTGCAACAGGGGGCAGCACCACGACAGCATCAGGTGGCCGCCCAAGCTACGCTCAGCGTGCTGGAGCGACCGCCGCTTGCCCCTACTGCGGGAGCAGCCAAGGCTGCTCCGGCCTTACTCAACAAGGCCCCACCACGGGCGTCGACATGCATTGGCACGAGCCAAGGCAACGGGCAGACTGCGGGAACCCCGTCGACGTCCGGTGTAGAGGGTTTGAAGGCTTCGTATCTTGAGCCGAAGCCCACAACGTCCAGGGATCGCTCGGCAGAGCGACGATCCAACGCTTCTCATGAAGCTATGGACACAACGGCCAGTCAAACGGCGCGTGCAGCGCCGAAGGAGCGGCGAGTTTCTCTCGACCGCTCCAAAAAAGACAAAAGACAAATTACAGGGCCTCTAAAAAGCCCTGTAAAATAAGTTTCGTTTTCCATAACCTGAAAGGTTATGGTACCATTCTGTTTTGACTTTAGTATCACACGCATGTCACCAAGGTTTTATTGCCAACAAATCAATTCTTACTCCATTTTTCTGCTCAAGTTCATTGCCCAAAATGGCTTTTCTCCTCCATTGGAATTGTAGAGGACTCATTCACAACATAGGTGACATAAAAGATTTGCTAAGTAGTCTCTCTCCAATGGCTATGTGCTTACAGGAGACCAATCTGGGAGAAAAACACACCAACTTCCTCAGAGGTTTTACCGTAGTACGTCGCAATCGCGTCCACGCTAGCCGGTTGTCCGGTGGCATGGCTATTGTCGTCAAAAGTGGAATTGCAGTGAGAGAGATCACCATCAACAGTCACATCGAGGCCGTAGCCGTCACCATTTTAGCTCACAAAACTATTACTATATGTTCTATTTATATCCCCCCACACACGCATTTTTCAATTAAAGATATAGAGCATATTTTGGACCAACTGCCTGAACCGTTTGTTATCGCAGGGGATTTTAACGCGCACGGAATGCTTTGGGGAAGCAGTACAACTGACACCAGAGGACAAACCCTCGAAGATTTTATTCTGAACAATGACGTATGTCTTTTAAATACTGGTAGCGTCACCTACTGCTCCCCAAGCACAGGAGCCACTAGCTGCTTAGATCTAGCGCTGTGCTCACCTTCGCTCCTTTGCGAACTAAAGTGGAGCGTGATAGATAATGTCTACGGCAGTGACCATATGCCTGCTCTCATAAAATTAACACAAACCCTCCCCACCACTCAATCCCGACCACCGCGTTGGAAACTACATTTGGCAGACTGGCCACTGTTCACTGAAAAAGCTGCCCTAGAAAAAGAGATGCTTGATGGCCTAAGCATAGAGGAAATGAACGAGACAGTCACCGCCTGCATACTTGCGGCAGCCTTACAAACTATACCACAATCCTCCGGCATTATAAAGGAAAAACTTAAACCCTGGTGGACAAAAGAGTGCACACAAGCTAAAAAAATGCAACAAAAGGAGTGGGGCATTTTTCGTAAACATCCTACAGGAGAGAACCTCCTAGCATTTAAAAAGGCGAGAGCAAAGGCAAGATTTATTCGCAGGCAGGCTGAAAAACTCTCGTGGAAAAAGTACATTTCATCCATCAACAGCTCCATCACATCTAAAAGAATGTGGGATCAGGTGCACAAGTTTACCGGCAACTACAGTTCATATACCACCCCCATTCTTTCAACCCCTGGCATCCAGACAACTTTAGGCGAACAGCCAGACCTACTAGCGCAGGACTTTTGCGCTATTTCGAGCTCAGCAAACTATTCGGCAGCTTTCCTAAAACATAAACAATCTACAGAAAAGCAAAAGCTTCCTATTACAGGTTATCACGACAGATCATACAACTCCCCCTTAACCCTGCAGGAAATTAACAGAGTGCTTTCTCAAGGTAAGAAAACAGCACCTGGCCCAGACAAAATACATTACCAAATGCTCGCCCATTTGTCCCAGGAAGCGGTGAAGGCATTGCTGCACTTCTTTAACGCTATTTGGATCACTGGCAGAATGCCAACAGAGTGGAAAAAAGCCATTATAATTCCATTTCTCAAAGCCGGAAAAAACCCTACATTACCAACAAGCTACAGGCCCATAGCACTTACAAGTTGTATGGCGAAATCCTTCGAAAGCGTTATTAATATTAGGCTAACATACATCCTAGAAACCGATAACTTGATAGATGTTCACCAATGTGGTTACAAGAAAGGATGTTCCACCACCGATCACTTTGTTCGCCTTGAACATCCAGTACGAGAAGCTTTCCTGTACAAGCAGCACTGCTTAGCAGTATTTTTCGATCTTGAAAAGGCATATGACACAACGTGGAAGTACGGTATCTTACGAGACCTGGCAGATCTTGGAATTCGCGGAAGGATGCTCAACTGCTTGTCCGACTTCCTATCGAACCGAACTTTTCAGGTTCGTTTGGGCACCACACTTTCAGGAACTTTTACTCAAGAGAACGGTGTGCCTCAGGGCTGTGTCTTAAGCACAACTCTCTTTGTCGTCAAAATGAACTCTGTGAACCAGGTCATACCATCTACTCTTATGCACTCACTATATGTGGATGATCTCCAAATAGCGTGCCGGTCATCTAACATGGCGACGTGCGAGCGACAGATTCTAATAGCACTAAACAAGCTAACACAATGGGCTAACAAAAACGGCTTCCGGTTTTCTGAGGAAAAGACGGTTGCTGTAGCGTCCTCCCAGAAACGAGGCTTACAACCAGACCCCGTACTGAAAATAAACAAAACAGTATTGCCAATAAAACAAGAACAGAAGTTTCTGGGGGTCGTATTTGATAAGAAGCTCAATTTTCTTCCACACATTAATAATCTCAAAATGAAATCCAACAGCGCCCTCAATGTCCTCAAAGTCTTGTCCCGAAAGCTCTGGGGTTCCGACCGTAAGTGCCTCCTGCTCATCTACCGCTCTTTAGTACGCAGCAAATTAGACTACGGTAGTATAATCTACGGTTCAGCAAGAGACTCGTACCTTAAGCGCCTAGACCCTGTCCATAACAAAGGGTTACGCCTCGCAACAGGTGCCTATCGAACCTCACCTATTTCGAGCTTATACGCTGAAAGTAACGAACCATCCTTGGAATATAGGAGAACGAAACTAATGCTCACGTATGTCCTTAGAGTTCGTTCTTCACCAGATCATATATGCCACAGTATTGTCACACGCTGTGACCTACGACAACACTACGCTAACAAACCAAACGTAATTAAGCCACTAATACTAAGATTTGAAGAAAAATTTCATGCCCTGAATATTCCTAATGAAGCACTCTCCATTGCGAGAAGGCCACCCAGTTTGGCCCCATGGAGTGATTTCTCCAAATTCTTGGATTTTTCACTCACACATATAAAAAAAAAAAACACCCCACGTGAACATATACTACAAGAATTCTTTACATTACAACAAACGTACAACACTTACGAAGAATTTTATACTGATGGTTCGAAGACATCTGCTTATGTTGG